GAAGGTGAAAAGCATTACCCCCAGAGACAGCACTGCTGCAAACTGGCTTCAGGCGACGTAGCACGTAAATACTATTTCTGTTATCCAGCATGTGGTGTGCTCTCTTGGTGCGGTGATAGCAGACCTGGGTAAGTTCCTGAGCGCAGAGAAATGAAAAAAGCAAAAAGTTCAGCTACATCGTCTGGTCCAGCCACCTCCAGCACAGAAACAGGCATTGTCTGGGCATGTTTTAATGACCCCAATCTCTGGCTTCTGTCTCTTGCCTGGGGATGTTTTTGTGGCATAGCTGTTCCTCCTCTTTCCCCTACTAGTGCATTTTTGGTGGTGTCATTCTCCTTTCCCCTCCTCCTTGGCACTGGAGATTTCTGAGAAGGCTGCTGGTTGTTTTTCTTCTTGCTGCAGAGGGACGGGGGTGAAGGAAGGCAGTGTAGTCTTGGAGGCAGGGAAAGTGAGAGACGAAAGGATGGGAGGAAGCCTCAAAGCTTCACCTCGAGCTGGGATTTCTGCACTCTGTGCTAAAATAACCTCCTCCTGCTAGTGAGCCAGCACTGGTACACCTGGCATTCACCAAGCCTCTGTGTGAGAGGTGCACTGATACACCAGCTCTGGTGCTCCAATAGCCTGAAGTGGCTCAGATGTTTCCTAAAAGGACCTGATTGGATTTTACTGCTTTTTTGTTTAAAATAAGCTCAGTGTCACTGCAAGGGCAGCTCTTCACATCTGTGCATATAATCCTTTCTTTTTTTTTTTTTTTTTTTTTTTAGTTAATGCCATGTTGCATCACAGTCTGAAATAAAAATTCGCTGCTTCTTACTATTTACACTGAGAGATAGCTCAAATGATGCATCTCAAGAAGTAAATCAGTCCGTTTTATTCCATCCCTTTTATTTGTAATGCAAAGACATTATCCTCCTCTCCCCCCAGTTTAATCCTGTACTCCTTTAATCTAAAACCATGCAGTACATGAATGGAAAATCAGTTGCTCGCAAATCCACTGCTGTGCAGTCTTTTAAATAAACAAAGTTCTACGGGTAAGCAAATGCCTTCATTCTAATTAGCAGTGTTTTTTTTTTGTGGTTCCATACATTCCCAAATGCAATAGGCAGCTACAGTGCCTAAAATAATCCCAGAGAAAACACTTGTATGCCATGAAGATAGGGAGTGGGAGGGAGAAGGGGCAGGAAAATCTGTTGTCTGTGTTCTTGGAAACCTTTTCTGTCTCCATTTGGATGCTGTCAGTTTCTTTTACACAAACATTACAGCATCCGAGGGGAATTAGAAATACTTACCCGTGACCACAGCGTCAGATCTTTGGGTTGTCAGGAGAAAGTAATGCAAAAGCAGGAGCTTGGACCCGCCGCCTTCATCTCGGTTTGAGTGTGCTAATAAATGGCTCCTAATGCTGGAAGGAGGTAGGGCTGGCTAAGAGATAAGGCCGGCTGTCTAGGTGGAATACAGAAAATTTATAAGTCTTACCTCATAGATGTGAAATGTTTTTTGGATGTGGAAAAGTGCTGTGTAAGGCCGAAGTAATAGTTATTGTCTCATGTGATGTCTCCGAATTACACAACAGCTTCCCCTGTATAGCAGCCGCTTCTGAAGTGGCTGGGGACCACAGCACAGACACAGAAGGGAGATGCTGCTGGTCAGATGGCTTTTAACCGGACAAATCGCTCAGGCTGAACCTTTTAGCTTCACCAAGGTTTGCTGGAAAAGCACCTCAGCCAAACGGCAGCGCAGAGGGGAACGGCAGCATTTTTCCATCAGTGAGCTTTTGGTGGTTTCCATGCCAGCATTTTGCACGGGTCTGTGCAGCACTCGGCGCTGAGACCTCCACGTAACCTGCACGGGGCTGAAGGAGTAGGAACCCAGCCTGCCCAGGAGCCCGAAATTGCACGGCATGGGGTCGGCAGCGTCCATAGGGCCAGCTCCTACCCAGAGCATCGACAGAGCTGCTGTGCTCCCGGGGTTTGACCAAGATGCAGCCCCATTCATCTGGCAGCGTATGGTGTAATTCCTCTGCTTCCACCTAGCCCTCTCCCAGCTCAATGAAGACTAAAGGCCAGCTCGTAGGAAAAAGCCTTCACCTACGGGCCAGACAGCTATAGGGCAGGAGCAGCAGCCAGTCGTGTTTTTTTCCCCCCGTTGCTAAGTGGAATCTAATCCGCCTTGCCAAAGCCCATCAGCTGAGGCTGTGATTTGGGGAAAAGAAAACAAATGAGCTGTGTCCCAGCTGCACGGCCTCCTTGAGGTGTGGATCTGCTGCTGGGCCCAAAGCACCGCCGTGGTTTTGCCGTGCAGAGGCGTGTAGAGGATCCTAATGCTTGTACCCTGGTCCAGGGTGTAACAGAGCCAAAGGAGAGAGACCCTGCTTGAGACTGAGCTCCATAAGCCCGAAAGGAGCTGCCAGTGTTTAATGGCAAAAATCATTGCCTGTTGGAATAACCAACCCAGGGGATGTGCCTGGACATTTATGGTCTGAAATCTCTGAGTCTGGATTGGATTTCTTTCAAAAGAAGGTAATTTGCCTGAGCTGACAGTCCTGGGGCATCCTCACTGAGTGGTAAATGTTAAATTTTCCCTGTAAGGCACACCCCAGTGCCTGCCGTGCGGTTGGCACGCTGACCAGCCAGCCTCCCAGCGTCCAAACGCAGCTCACATGCATTTACCAGTTGGGCATCATGAAAGTAAATAACCATCACGATCCCTTCTGGCCTCTGGCACCTTGGGAATGCCCCAGAGGAAGACAAATGAAATATTTTCATCCTCTCCTACCAGGAGTCCCCAGACGGAGCCGGGCATCTGCAGCAACAGAGGCGGTGGTGGGGCAAGAGGCTGGCGATGAGCCCCGTGCGTTTGTCGGGAGCCCTCCTGCGTCCCTTGGCCAATGTCAGCAGAAGTTGCTCTCGTTAAAAAAGTGTGAGGAATGCATCAATGGCAACTCTGCTAACAGCGAGCAGCTGTTCTGGTGATGCCCTCCAGAGATGTGGCTCCTGCAATCTGAGCTGCTCCCTTTTTCCACACACAAGTAATTTCCAAAAATATTTATCATGGTTTTGATCTTTGCCTGAAACTGAATTTTCTTTTCTATGGCTGGAACAAAATTCCTCTGGATTTGGAAAGACTGAGGCTTTTCACTCACCAGATGAGGGTGTTCGCATATAAAATGATGAGGCATCTTTTCCCTTCGGTTCGGTCAGAGATGCGAAGTTGGTCAAAGCTTTAAATCTTATTTAAGTAAATCTAAAAGTCTTATTTAAGCATTCATCTCTTAACACTGGGTGTTACGTGCCCACATCAGGGTAGCTACAAAGTTTAATATTTTCGTGAGCTTGAATAGATTGCAAAGCTACAATGTCTAGCAATATACAGAGACCTTTAAAATATCACCGAGCAGTATCAATGCTGAATTTTTATCCTTTCTTTCCCTACTTTTAAAAAGTGTGGTCGCCTGGTTTTAATGTTGCAGCAACAGCTTGGGGCATAGAAACAGCAGCGTGCTGTAGCTTTGGAAGTCAGAGTGACTCACGGCTGACTTGGGAACTTTCTCCACCGCGTTTTGCTTTTGAGGCACTGTCACTGGAGCTACCGCTAGCAGCAGCCCCTCTGGGCTTGTCAGTAGCACAGAAAAAGGCCACGACTCTCTTCTCATCATAAACACAAAGCCTTTTCAATGGAGGACTTGAGCTGCTTCTATTTCAGCCTAGCCCCATGATAGCACTTCTCAAGGACTTGCATCTTCAATTTTCTTACCCACTTTCTGCAGCTCTCTAAACAAAAATAGCCACGCTACTGCTTCAGGAAGGTCATTGTCCTCACCCAGAAATTCAATTAGCAGCTTTCCCTTTCTGCTGACTATTTCTCCCCCCGTTTAGTTAATTTTAACCCAGTGTCCCACACTAGGAGCCTTCAGCTCCCAGTTGAGGGAGTAGATAAAGACTTCGAGTGGCCCCCGGGACCTGAAGCTGAGCAAGTGCTCACCAGTGGGAGCATTACACCATGGAAAGCTTCCGATCTCCCGCTGCAGACAAAATGTCTATGCAAACAATCCTGCTACTTTCCCAAATTCCCGCGTGTCGCAGATGTGAAGGTCAGTTGCTGGAGGGGAAGCCAGGCTGTTTTGGGGGAGATCATCGTGGTCTGTCTTTTTTGCTGCTGCTGCTAATTTTTGTGAGCACCATAGAACACAGTAGAAAATTGAAACTGTGTGAAAGATCAACAAATCAGTGTAGAATGTCATGCAGCAACATCTGTTAACTTTGGCTCTATCTCATATCCTCCTGACCCCTCCTTTCCAGCCACAAGTCTCCTGTTTTGTGAGAGCTCGGAGTGATAGGGACTTGGAGAGGGGGGGGAAAAAAGCCTCGCTGTTTCTCAGTGGTCTGAAGGGCTTGCAAAAGTACCATCTGGAATTAAAATCTTATGTTTGTGTGTTTCTGTATTTTTAGTTATGAAACAAATGGGAATTTGCTGAATGAATTAATTGTATTGCACTGTAAAAGTCGTATCTTGAGGGCCATTATATATGGGAGTTTACAAAGCCTGCAGAGAGAAATGAAAGTGGCTTCTCTTTCTAATTAGGGCTTTCAGGAAATCATTGATTACAGAATCTAATAGCCTTGCTCAGAGACATTTGTTTGATATTACTTCTGATAAATGAAATTTTTACCTAATAATAATTTTACTAGTGGCACTGGAAGCAGCTGCTTTCTCTAACACTAAGCTTGCCTTCAGTAAAACTTTCATTTTTTTTTTCCTACCATGTCCAAATAGTTACAGCTAATGAAACATTAATTCTAAACTGTAGATCACAGTAAAAAGTTTAAATCGTGAAGAATTGAGTGGTGTAGTAGACAGCATGTCCTTAATGGGAATGGTCTTTGTCCAGACCAGCTTAATGGTGTACACTTGTTCTTGCAGTGCATCTAAAAAAGAAGTCTAAACAAAACCTGGACCTGCTCTGTAGCAATTTTTACCATATATTTTCTTTTCTTTAACAGGGTCAGCATATTTCGTTAGCTCCCATCCAAAAGCTAGAGGAAGCTTTGTACGAGTATCAGCCTCTGCAAGTGGAGACATATGGACCACAAGTTCCAGAGCTGGAAATGCTGGGAAGGCTGGGGTAAGTAACGCTGCAAGTTTTAATTCCCATTTCACAGGGCTGTAGCTGGGACTGTTACCATCTTCACTTTGCCAGGATGTAGGGGCTTTTTTTTTGTGTGTGTTTTGTTTTAAAGGATCTTAATGAAATATTAGACTTCCTGCCCAACCAACCAACATTTTGTTTGGGTGGATAAGCTAAAATTTTTGGTCCTCAAGCCTTTATAGATCTATTGAGAGCTGGACTGGATTGCATTAGTGTTTTTAAGGTTGTCCTTGGCAGTCGCAGTGAAGTAGCTGTTCATTTTCAGTTGCACGGTATTAAAAAATAAATAAATAAAAATCTGGGGCCTAATTTACCCAGCTGTAAGCCAGTAAAAATATTAAAGTTGGGCCTTTTGCCACGGAAAAGGGTAGATTTACTTGTCGACTGCTGTCGACGGTCAAACTGCGTTTGTGAGAAATGAAGCACAGAGCTTAACGTTGTCAAAAAGCATAATGCAGGGCTGGTCCAGCAGCTTGGTGGCATCACAGTGCGCAGCCGTGTTTGGAAGGGAGCCTGCCGTGCCTGAAAAATGGAGGCTGGGAAGGCCAAAAGTGACACGTCTGCTTGCTGGAGGGTGTTCACAGCTGAAAAGCCACCTGAAAATGCCCAGCCGCTGGGATAGGGAGTGTCCCTAAACTGGTTGTGGTTGGGCTTCCAAGGTCACAAGCACCTACAGCGGCTGGAAAATGATGGGGCAGAGTGAACACGCAGATTGGCAAGGCAAGAAAGAGTTTAAAAATAATAATAAATGTGTATCTTTGCCCCTGTGGGGAAAACTGAAGCCAGAAAGTACTGAAGAAAGCTGAGACACTTGGAGGATGCAGATTCAGAGACCACTGAAATCCAAACAGGAATCCTGTTTAGTTTGGTGGCACAGGCAGAACTGCCTCTCACACAGAAAATGCTAGAGGTAGATGGACTTCTTAAAACAAACAAGCAACCTAATGGTGCTTTAGAAAATTGAAGGCTGTCTGGAATTGAGATTGTCTCCATTTTTATTGTTTCTTTGTCCTCCTGGTGCCTGTAATTTTTATTATCTGATATCAGGCTTCTGAGACCAAATATTAATTAGCAGTTTAAACTTGGGCAGAGCCAGATTCAGCCTTCACCACCTGTTTGGATGGAGCACAGCTGTGAGGGACCTCCGGGGCGATGGGAGCCTTGGGGCCCTCTCAGCCTTATCGCAAGTGAAACAGCTTGAGGGGAGGAAGATGGCTTGTACCAGGAGAGTTCCCAGCCTCTGTCCCTTTGTGCGTGGCCCCGTAAGGTGAGTGCTGGCACCAGGATCAGGCAGGAACCCTGACATTTATCTGACCCGTGGCTCTGCCTCGGAGGCAGCCTTACACAGCGCTGTGCCATCGCCCTGTCTGCGTGCCAGCGTCTTCGGAGCAGGGTTTGCAAACAGCACTCAGTCTGTTCCTGGAGGTTCACGTGCCTCCTTTTACCTCTCTGAGCCCGAACAGCCCCGGTTGTCTGCTCCGACCCTGCAGGTGGTGAAAGAGTTAAGAGCAGCTGGGTGGCTGTGGCGGCGAGGGGAGGCATTCGGTGAGGGGAGGCACGCGGTGCCCAGCGGAAGAGTTCTGCCGAGTCCTGAGGCTGTTTGCAATTCCAACACAAACACATCGACGCTGTGGGTTCCCAGCTGGTACGACTCTAACCCTATTCCATTGGGTGTCTGAAATACCTTAGACCATGCAAGGCTATTCATTTATATATATATTTGTGTTTCTGTGTTTATATGAACTCATGCGCATTTCCTGTTGATGAATGCTTAACTAATGTGCTTTGGTCCCTGGTTTGGGGTTTTTGCAGGCAGCTGCATACAGCTGCCTGAGAGAGGCAGAAGAGCTGGGCACAACGTTAACCACTCCCGCTAGATTTTTAGTTTCCTCTTACTTTGGACTCATAAAGACAGGTTAAATCTAAAAGACTTTGTAGTTTTCATTCCTTCTTCTTCATCATCCCCACTTCCATCATCTTTCTGTAAGAAAGGAAGAAGTTTTCCACAGTCCCTCCAAATTTGTGAGATTTTGCTCAGTTTGACCATGCTGTCATTAGTTGTAAAGTACAGCAACATTTCGTGTTCTTGTTACCAGTTTTGCAGAGGCAAGTTTGGCCATTTATTACTGCTAAATAGTTCCCTCAAATGCGCAGGCTGCTATCATCTGAGCTTCTGGAGCCAGACTGTTGCAAAGACAATGCCAACCTGGAGACTTTCAGTAATCTGGAGACTTTGAATTCTCATCTGGCAACATAATTTATTGACATTTTTGGTAAGATACAGTTTATCTTCAAAACACCCAACAGAATGAGCTTTTTGAATATTCAGACCTTAACCTCTTACCTTCTGCAAGACTTACTTTAGGTTGCAGCATGAGCGTTGCTATTCCTTTCTTGGTAAACTGCTGCAACGGAGGAGACAGCTGGCAAGAGCAAGAAAAAGGGTGAATCTTTAGGGGATCATCAAGAACATTTGCTAGGATTTTTTTTAATTAAAAAACTAGCTTTATAAGTTGACTTGTGTTATTTGTCCATGAGAATTTTTTTTAAAAGACACTGTGTGCAGTCCAATAAGCTGATTCTGGGTCCTCCCACTGCTCTTCTATATGGATTTTGCATGTTTTGCAAATAAGGAAATTACATTCAAAATGTTTTTAGAAGCTTGTTTTCAGTTTCTCCTGGGGCTGTACATTTTATTTTATTCTGTGCACTGCAGAAAAACATTAATAGCCATATGATTTTTTTTCTTGCTGTTGTGTTGCAAGTTTGACGATAATGAAGGAAAATCTTTTTTTCCTTTTTTTTCTCCAATACAAATGAGAGGTACTGTGTGTAGGGTTTTGTATTTTTTGTGTCCCGTCCCATTCTTGTGCCCCCCTTCATTTTTTCTTCTTTTTTATTTGTTTCATATTTTTTGAAAAAAATATGTAACAATCCAGAATTGCACTGCTTTCTAGGAGCAATGTGTGTTGCACTAACTTGTAGGCAGCATTTAACCTTCTGGCAGGGGGAGTGAGACTTCCTCAGTGTGATAGAGGTTCCCTTGCCTGTGTCTGTGGGGTTTTGGCAAGGAAGTCCCTTGATGGTCCTGCAAACACCACCGGGTGCACTGCATCCAGGTTGGTGACGATTTGCTCTTGGTGGCAAAGAGCACGTCAGGCGTGCAGCCTGTGAGGCCAGCTCATGCCCGCCTGCACTTCTCAGATGGAAACAGGGCTTGAAAGGAAGAAGCAGAGAAGATGGCTACAAGCACCCAATCACTGTGGTGATGTCCTTGGAGAAAAACTGGGTCTGGGATCGTGGTTTTTTACCCATCCTGCAGGGAGGCCCTACAGCTGCTCTGTGGCCTATGATGCCCAATAGCCCTGTGTCTGTGCGACTTTTGTTGCTATCCCAAATTACCCAAATATTTGGTGACACGTTGGGAAGTCCCAGGCTTCTGGGTGGGGTTGAAGGCAACTTGCTGAGGGGGTTGTGTTCGGAGAGCCTGTCTTATTAAAGGCACTGCTGGCGCTTCTGTGGTCACCAGAAGCTGTTAGATCGGTGTCATTTGACTAAACTGGGGAACATCTTTTAGTCCTAATCAGTCCCAAGTCTGTTGAACTGCCCAAGTCGTTGCAAGGCTGTTTGACCTACCACAACTTGCCAGGGAGAGGAATTGTGTGGCCGAGAAAGATTAAGAGCACCGGGATGCTCAGGCACTCGCTGCCATTGCTTTACCTCAGGTTTTCTTAAAAGGAACCAAAAAAGGTCTGTCTTCTGTTTTTTTTCTCCCCCTTTTTTGTTTTTGCTAGTGTTTTAGCTGAGCACACTGAATTTGTGTGGTTAGAGGTCTGGAATAGATAGGATTTTTTCTTACTGCAAAACAGAAGAAATGAAAAATAAAACAAACTCCGTCATGCCAAGTAGTGAAAGAGCAAAACAGGATGGGGGTGGAAATGAGTTGCCTTTATCCTGTGAATAGCTTTGTTGATTTAAAAATATATGCTTGTTATGTAGTTTTGATTTCAAACAAACAAACAAAAACCAAACAGAAGTTCAAAGTGATGTTTGTTTGAGGGCCCGAAAAATGTAAAGGCATTCTTGGGATTATTGGGACGCATGTAGAGCCAGCAGGAGCTGCCGCAAAGCGTTCTCACCGAGTGCTTACTGTGAATCAAAAACCTGCCTATGTGATGAACATTTTGGGAAAAGATGGGTGAATTTCATGCCTTAAAGTTTAGGAGCGGTCCGTGTAATCCAAAGGCCTCTTCAGCACAGCGCCCGTCCTGCTCGTGCCATTCTCACAGCCTAGAGGTAATTCACGGGTATGAGTTAAAATTTCTGTTAGCACTCAGCATAAAAATCCTCAGCCTTAACAGAGAGCTCTTGTGCAGACCTTGTAAACAAGTCAAGCCTGCTCCGTTTAAAATAAAATAATGTTTGCCTACTTAGCTTTGTCTGCAGAGATGCCTCCCCACTATATACATCTGCATATGACAGTTGAGTTTGCTCCAAAAATATCTGCTTTTTCTGTAGGGAAGAATGGGACTTCCCTTTGATGTATTGGCTTGTTTTCATCTCTCACCACATTGTGAGGAGCACCCAAGTTATTTAGCGTGTTGTTTAAGAATGATGCAAAAGTAAACGTCAGCACCAAACACTAACGAGGGTAGGTAAAGTACCTTCTTTGTTAATTTAAAAGTTAAACCGAAGCAAAATGCCATTTTGAGAGTTAAGTTCTGGAGGAAAATCAGAGCTCTGTAGGAAGTTTCTACATGTTTTAGCCCACTGTGCGTGTTATAAGGAGCAACTGGATTGATCCGTTCCTTTTTTCCCTAGCGTAGGACAGCTCAGTCGTTTCAAATTCTGAGTCAAGATGAGGAGGCTGGATTTCATATCTGCTACAGCTTTGTTAGCATTTAATTTTTAACCTTCATTTCAAGTGGAAAATTTCTGCATATTTCTTTGTTGTATAGTGTTGTAGTGTAATTCGAACCACATGTAGAGTGCTGGCACTTAATCCAGAAGCGACTAGTGCAACTTCTTCGCTGTCAATCACTGCGGTATTTTTTTTAAATGAGGAATAGTGAGGATGCTCTCCAAACTATTGAACCACTGCTGATCAGGTCTTCGGCTGGATTACTTTTTGATAAACCTCTGTCAGTTTCTGTGTTGCAGACGATATGGTAAAATAACCGAGAATTGATTTTGAATGGGTGACAGGAACACCGGGCTTTTAAAGTTGTAGCAGGTGATTTTTCACGTCAGCTCACTTTGTGATTGGGGCATGCTGGTATTTCTTGAATCTTGGAAAAGGAAAAAAGCCACAAATGAAGGACTTATTTGGTCCGTCTTGGCCCATTGATTCTGAACACTGAATTCATTCTGCTCCTTTAAATAGAATATCGTTTCTTAATAAGCTCAGCAGTCAGAATCAAAAGATTGAGTAAGAGCAAGGAAAGCTTGTCTTGCTTTGGAGCGTACCAAGAAGGCTGTGTTCGTTCTTACAGGAATTCTCTTGGCTACCAAGGCATATGGTCTGAATTTCCCAGTGTCTTCTGTTGCAGGGCCTGATCCTCTCTTCTTTGAAGTCAGTAGAAAGATTTCTATTGGCTTCGCTGACTTTTGAAAAAGACACTTAATGAATGAGAATTGGCAGGTAAGAAGTGGTTATTGCTTTACTGACACGATGCCATTTGCATATAGCCTGTTAAAGTCAATTCTTATTTGTTGATTATACCATAAGTAATTGAATAAAGACTTATGAATGGTGGTAATAGCACTCTGTGGGTACATTTTTTTGAATAATGAATATGGATGAATGTGCTGTCTTTTTCAAGGGAGGATGGAACAAGGAAATAGACCTGTGTCTATAATCTTAATTTGCTTTGATGTAGAAACTGCCTTGTATTGTTTTTGCATACAGCGATCCTGCAGGCTTCACCGTAAGATTTTGGAAGGATGCAAATTTTACACGGAGTAGGTAGATTAGCACTGATTTTTTTCCAACCGAATGGAAATTGAGCAAAGGAGCACAGCCTCTAGTAAGTCTGAGATCTTACTGTTTAAGAAATCAGTTTTCTGGCAAAAATGTCTATGAACATTTCAAACGACACCCTAAAGTATATGGTGTTTTGCATGGAGCTCTTCTGTCAAGGTCATTAGCAATTGAATATATTAAAAGTGGACTGCTTATGAAACGGAGAGTTTCACTTCCTGCCCGCCCACCTGTGGGTATAGTGTGGGTTCTGTAACTGTAAAAGGTCTCGGGAGGGTTATAAAAGCAGAGAATATGGAAAATATATAAAGAAACAAAGAAGGAAGCCTGCACACACCATGTCGTTTCTTATATTTAAAGTTGGCTGTAGCTGTATATGTACCACTAAATTAACCTCAAAAGCTGGCCATGACAGCAGAATGTCCATGGTGATTGTTTTTGTTGGCGTTTGGCTTCAAAATTAACTCATCGATCTAACATGAGGCTCTGTGCTCGGAATACTGGCCTGGTAATGTTTTTTTACTTTTTCATGCAATCATGGAAAAAATATGTTTCTGCTCGAAGCAGTTGTCAAACAAGCTTCTTTCATCGACAATCAGACACAGGGCAGCTGAGTAAGGCTGTTTAGTCTAGAATAAATACTCAAGAGATTACAAGGTCGCTGTAGGAAATGTAATTATACCATTTATTCCAGAATAGTCTTTTTGTAGTGTGGGCTTGCAGAATACTAAATCATGCTGTTTATTAAAGTACGTGCAATATTAAATAGAAGTATCTCAGAGCCTTAACCTAAGGAAGAAATAATAATTGTCTGGCAAACTACTACAGGATTAACTAGCAACTATGTAAAACTGCTTGCAAAAACTCGGGATGGTAACCTTGGTTTTATTGCTGAAGGTTGGTAGGAGGCAAACCCGGAGCCCTCTCTGCAGGTGTAGAGGCAGTGCTGCAACGCAGGCAGCTGAAACAGCGGCAGGCAAAGCTGCCTGATGATGGATTGCAATGCGGCAGGAGGCATCCTGCGAGTGTGTGGGCCAAATGCCCTGAGTTTTGCACTCTCGTGTCTCACCAAATCAATGTCTTTTTACTGCTAGCTGCTTAAGCATACCTGATGGTCTGTGATCTGTGATAGATCTTATCTGAAAGCCTTCCTCTGCTTTCATCCTTCCCTTCATCCCCTACATTGGTATCACTTTTTATGTATGGTTCTCCTGTGACTTCATATGTCCGCAGACTTCACTCCTTCCCTGTTCTCCATCTGCTTAGAGAAGTAGATTTTCTGTGGAAGTTAAGGTTTAGATCTCCCAGTGCTTCTCTGAAGTTGTGGTAAGTTTGAGGCCAGTAATATTTGTGATCCTTGTTCTTCTTTATTTTGCTTTTCTTTCTTTGCTTCTCCTGCCCTCCACTGTGTTGCCTTTTTGAGTCTTTCTCTGGCTCCTGTGCATTGGGAACTGTGCAGTTACTACAAGGAAAATGGTACATTTTGCACAGGCAAGTGATCTTCCCTCACTCCACCAACAGGATGGCTT